AAAAAATCCCGAAAAAAAAAAAAAAAAAAGCTGCAAAAGTCTTAAAAAAAAAAAAAAGCTACAAGAGCTTTAAAAAAATTCCCGAAGGAAAAAAAAAGCTGCAAGAGTCTTTAAAAAAAAAGAAAAAAAAATTTTTTGTAAGAGTCTTAAAAAATTCCCGAAGAAAAAAAAGGTCCCGAAGAAAATTTGCAAGAGTCTTAAAAAAAAAAGGTTCCGAAGAAAAAAAAGGTGCGTCAAGTATTTATAAGAGTTGAAAAAAGTATATGGGAAACGGTCCCCGAGGTTTTCTTTTTCTGCTACTATTCATTTTTTCCATACTCGTTCGGAGTATGGAAAAAAATTGGTGCGAGTTTTTTAAAGGGAATTCCGTCGGTTCCGCCTCGTCATGTATTTATAAGAGTTGAAGGAGAAGATAGGGAAGGATTTCGAGGTTGTGTTTTTTTCGGTCGGTCCGTTCATTTTTAGAAATTTTCACACTTTGACGAGTGTGAGAATTTTTTTCTGTAAATAGTATAATAAAGAAAAAATGAATAGGAGAGACCGGAAGACCAGTCCTGAAATTGAAAGGAGGAATAAGGAGGAGGGTATGCCTCTGGTGGAGGAGAAAAGGTGCTTTTTAAAAAAGATGGAACTAGAAGGTAGAACTTGCGGAAAACGCAGTCCGGGATACACGGGAAAATCGGACCGGACGTATTTACTTCGGCTGGCATTGACGAATGCCCGTCTTCAAAGGGAGAGGGAGGAAGCGACAAAAGAACGTGAAGAAGTGGTGGGAGAATGTGAGGAGGAGGAGGCATATTTCGATGACGACGAAGATTAAAAAAAAATATTTTTTTTCCATGAAAAATAAAAGAAATTAATCCTATGACTACTATCATTCATTCGGCGATAAAATTATCTGCAGGAAACGTAACAGATATCCCCAACGTATCATTAACGGAAGAAGAGGCTAACGTCTTGTACGCAACGTGTGCGATCTGTAGTTCGTCCGCACTATCCATTCTGATGTTCGTGACGGTGAAATTAATAAGGGTGTGTCGAAAGGAGAAAAAGAAAGACGAATTACCCATCCACACACCGTCCGCGTAAAAAAAGAATTTTAATAATCTTATTATTAAAGTTTATTCAGGATTATTATCACTAACAAGACTTCGATCGTGATCGGGATCAGAAGACAACTGATTAGAGTCATCCACAGTAACGTTCTCCATAGGAATATTTTGATAATTTATTTCATCGTAATTTTTAACGGTGGTACTCACGTATCCGATCTGCGTGTGAATACTGGTCGTGGCATCGCCGCGATCGAATCCGAACCCGAGCCTGAACATTTTTCGTCTCTTGTGATTTTTATTCTGTTTTTTCGTTCCGGCGGATTTTGAAGACAGATATCCCATTTTAATTAAATGAAACCGTTCAACATGATCATCGTGGGTATGACGGCGTGTGGAAAAACGCATTATCTGATCGAAGAATTAAAGACGACGTATTTTTGTGAATTTTCCGAGATCTTTTTAATCTGTCCGACGTTTCATTGGAATAAGACGTACGAGCAGGATTTTATCGCGAAAGATCCCAACTTTTCGTCATTCCGTGTCATCACGACGACGTGGAATATAATTTAGAATTTGTCGTGAATTATGCGTCGGGAAAAGAGACGTACATACATACATACTTTATTGTGTTCCCTAAATAGGGATTTTCAACACTGATTTACAAAAATAAATGTTGTTCTATTTACAAGTTTTAGAATCTAGAATTTAAATTAAGGTAAAAAGGTAAGACATTTGTATAAAGTTTAACAAGGTAAAATT